TTACATGTATACTTTGTGTCATCATTTTGTTATATTATGACTCGTAAAAAGCAGCTCAGAATGAGATTGAAGGCGGTGGACCAGTACACACCACAAACAGCATGACACACTCTGTGTCTGAACTTTAGCTCACTAGTCATCATGTTGTTTTAATGTGATGATTCACCGATTCGATAGAAACCGTACACAAGTGCAAAAAGTACATCACCTGACCACACACCAGTTGAGATAGGTGTGGTGGAAGCTTTAGACTGGGTTCCCTACCACCTCTGATCGAAGACCAACATAGTGTGCTAGGACTGGTATAGACGGTATGGTAATTGAATCTTTGTAAGGTCTAGATTTCTATAGGTCTATGTTGAGTTGCTGTATTTCATAGCTACACCTGCTATTTCCCTGTCGTCACTATAGTTAGTCGAGACCTCCATGTCTGTCTGCTGATGTCACAGTCCTTCCTCCTCACCCTGTCCTCTTCCTTCGCTCACGATTTGATCACCACCGTCTTCATTCATCACACACTTGTGTCACCACACCTTCATACTCGCCCTGCCTGCTTCTAGCTCTTTCTTTAATTTTCTTTTGTGTATCACATCCCGATACAAGTGGAAAAAACATTTCTCTTCAAATGAAGGGGATATAGGGGTGCGCTTGACGCACACCAAAACGCAAGAAAGCAAGGGTGTCCGGTACACAGCTAAGATGCACAAAGCTCACCTGACACCATCCTATATCGTTGTTCGATATTAAAGTTAACTTTCCTTAGTAGAGCACATAAAACAAAGATAGGATGGTGTCAGGTATGCTTTGTGCATCTTAGCTGTCTAATGACCGCCTTGTTTCTAGTCTCCTCCATGTTTTGCGTCCTTGTTTCTCGTCCTTTTTTGCGTTTCAAGCCTCGCCTATATCCGCCCTTCATTTTTGATGAAATGATTTTTCCACTTTTTGTCCTCCCACTATTTTTATACACAGCTTATGACACACCGGCATTTTATGTTACAACAGTCACTCTGATGTTTCAGAGTGTATGTTGTAGATAGGTTACCCAAGGACAACTCTAATAATTGTTGGAAAGCTGAAGTAGGCTAATGGCTGCTAGTGCCTGAAGCAGGAGCTAGCTTAGATCAATATTCACCTCTCAGGTATTGTCTTCAACAAGGATGTATTAGGTATGGCACACCTGTGTGTGTTTCAGCAGCTTTGTAATCAGGCTACCACTGGATGAAGCCCTTTTTTGGCATGAAGCATGCTCGCTAAGAACACCTGCGCTGACATCTGCCACCGTGTAAGTGGCACCTGACGTCAAACGGTCAGCTAGCCAGTAGCATGGTTCCTCTGCAGGTCTGTCAACTCGCTGGTACACATACGTCGCGCACAGCTAGCGCATTCGACAACGCTCTGCGTGCGTATGCGTGCGGCTTACTGATGCTGAGTTGGCAGACAATAGCGTTTGTTCAGTGTCGACCATGGAGAGCTCCAAGATCTACGTAGTGTACTCGCAAGAAAGAACGATCGCTTGATGGCCGTGCACACCTCCGGCGAATTGAGACGTTCAGTGAAAAACAGCTTGCGCTTCACTGGTTCTGGTAGGAGATATGCGGATTGAAGAAGAGAATAGAGATGAGAGGACGCAAAATCGTGACGTCGCGTATGAGCGAAGTCTCGCTGCGACTGGAAACAGAATGTGCGTATGAGTCGCTTTGGGAACATGTATAGTCGATATGGCCAGTACGACTATTGGCTAGTGCGTGTCAGGCCTAGGGATCCGGAGTCCATCTCACGAGTTTTAGATAGAGGCGTTTTGTGCGCGGATCACGTGAGATTTTCTACGTCGTGCCATCCCTATACAAGTGGAAAAATCATTTCTTCAAAATGAAAGGGGGATATAGGGATGGTTTGAAGCACCAAAAAGGAAGAAACAAGGGGTTATTACACAGCAAAGATGCACAAAGCTACATGACACCATCCCTATATCTTTGTCTGATATTAAACTTTACTTCAAGGTAAACTGTTGCAGAGTGGAAATGACGGAGACGTCAAGCGCGGCTCTTTCCCAATTAGGGAGGAAAATGTCAGCAGGGCGAGATTGGTTGTGAACAATAACACAAAGATATAGGGATGGTGTCATGTAGCTTTGTGCATCTTTGCTGTGTAATAACCCCTTGTTTCTTCCTTTTTGGTGCTTCAAACCATCCCTATATCCCCCTTTCATTTTGAAGAAATGATTTTTCCACTTGTTTCCACTATTTTTCACGCCTTATGACAACACTGCATTTTCAGTCACTCTGATGTTCATGGGTGTTGTAGAGATAACTGTTGAAAGCAGAAGTTAATGGGCTGCTCCTACCTGAAGCAGGGTGTATGCGTAGTGTCTCCAACAAGGATGCAATTAGATTGTGGCACATATGGTGGGGTGGTTTCATAGGCAGGCTTCAGTAATCAGACTACAATGATAGCTATAACCTGGGGGACAAAGAATGAAGGCGCTGTGCAAGGCCCGCGTAACACGGCGCACACTGCCAAGTTGCTCCTCGTGCAAATCAACAGCTAAACGCAAGCTAGCCAGTTAAAATGTGTATACTGACTTACAGAAGGCACTGGAGGATAAGAATTCCTCTGCAGGCTAGGCATCCTGGCTTAGTCTCGTGCACCAGGTTCACGCACGAAATGCGCGCGCACCGCATTGGGGAAACGCCCTCCTCGGCGCATGCGGCTCACTGATGCTGAGTTAGCAGCAAATGGCGTTGTTCAGTGACTACCGTGGAAGAGCTCAATGATCTACCGTAGTGACTTGCGGCAAGAAACAAGCGATCGCTTGATATGCGTGCACACCTCCGGAAAATTTGGAGACGTTCTGTGAAAAAACCAACGCTTCAACTGCTTCCGGTAAGGAGCTAGCGGGTCTGAAGAAGAAGATGAAGAATATGATGATGATGATGATGATGACACGAAAATCGCGAAATCGCGTAAGTGCGAATTCTCTGGTGGGGAACTGAGGGCACGTAGGAAGTCTTGGGGCATATGTATAGCTAGGTATTGGCCTCTAGACTATTGCTAGTGATTTTGAAGCCATGGTGAGTCATTCTCGCTGAGTTTTGAGGCGTTTTGTACGCGGATCACGTGAGATTTCACTCGTGTCATCCCTATATAGAGCGTCTACCGACGCTCTGATAGAGTCGTCTACAGACGCTCTACTAAGTCGATGCATTCGCGCAGTTCATGACCGATATATACTTTTGCTAAGAGAATCAACTAAGGAGCAGCAATGAACTGACGCGTGGGCGCAATCTTCACAAAGCATGTGTATAGCTACACTATTTAACCCTCTCCTGTGACAGTTCAGAATGTTGGGAAGCAGATGGGAAAATACTTCTTTAATCGAAAAAATCGTAGCTAAGACACATTGTCTACAACTGTCTTTGCTTTTTGATACGTACACTTCAAACCCAACATCCGATTATGATCGAGGCAACAAAGCGCGTGCACTAGCTTTGTGGTCGATTTTATGCCACTTTTGTTGTCTGTCATTGAACGTTTAAACGAGAATATGGCTACTGCATGATTATTATTAAAGGGCACTGTTACAAACTCGAGCCATAAGATACATGCACACACGAGCACATGAGTCACAGTCACAGAGTGACTCTATAAATAATAACTCTAAAAATACCACTTTAAAAATATAATACCAAAACCATAGTATAGATATAAATACCCACGCCCTCCTCTGCACCTATATAGGAGAATGGATTATGGAGAAGAAGGAAAATGGAACTTCATACATCTCCTATAGTTTATATACCAGCTTGAAGAAGAGGTGATTCTCTGCAAGGGAAATTCACTAGTTCGTATCCTTCCCCTTCCCCAGCTGCCTCATTGGTAGAGGTTGTAATATGGACCCCTCCTCTATCTCTCACTGTTCCATATGCCTCATTGGTTGAGGTTGGGATGCTGTTGACTGCAATTCCTCCTTTCCCCCTCACCTCCCCATATGCCTCATTGGTTGAAGTGTGGATACTTGTGCCTCGATCTTTACTACCTGTTCAAAGGTAAATAAAACCTTTCAGAATTGTTCCTGTGTTTTGAATAATATGAACCTTTGAGACACAGCAGACCAATAACACTGAGAGATACTATAACAGTTGCTACAACAACTCCAATTGTTATAGCCACAGTAGACAACAAGCCATCATCAGTAGACCTGTCGGATCGGGAGTACTTAATTAGTCGCACTTATAATTATTACAATTAACCCAAAATTAGGGGTTGGCGCATAAGAGTCATCTTCTTCTTCAGCAGCTGGAATAAGAGTAGGCTTGGAGAAGATTCTCATACTAGAGATGGATGGAGTTGGGGTTGGTCTGGAGAACATTCCTCCACTGCTGGAGGTAGAGATGGTTGAAGCTGGAGAGGTGTAGAGAGCAGTAGCGGTTAGAGTCAAGTAACTGTTAGTTCTCTTAGAGTTAGGTATGGGTGATGTTTTTCCATGACTCTGCCCTGAATAGGCAGTAGATACACTGTATTTAAGGATAGAGCTGGTAGAAATGACACAGAGTTTTGAAAGAAGAGGAGGTTGAAGAAGTGCTTGTCTCTGAAAATTGTTGCAGGATCATAAGTTTAAGTGAAACACATTGTATCACATACCATTTAAAGCATAGAGTCCAACATAAACTGTTTGATTTTTTTTCGTGTGGTCCTGAATCACACACCTGTATGTCCCCTCAAGCGGAGTACTAGCAGTTGATCTCTTCAGTCTCACCACATGAGGACCTCTGTTTCTCACAAACCCCAGGTCACCAGGCCCATTGCCACCTCCCACTCTTGTTCCATTTGGAGCAAACCAGTCTCCTCCAGAAGTTTCATTGCCGGGAGGAGGAGGATAGTTGGTATAACAGAGCAGAGCAGTATCATCAGTTGACCCAATAGCATCCAGAATCACAGAACCATTGTTAGGAATTACTTTGCGTCTAAAAGTGATATGTACACCTGAAAGTATAGGTCAATTCGCATATTTCTGTTTTATAAACCTAGGTATAATAATAACTTACTTTCATCGATAGTCTTTACGAGAGTGGCATTACTGAACACTCCAGTACCAGCTCTGTTGACTGCTGCAACTTGAATTGTGTAGTTAGTAGATAGGGTCAGGTTAGAGATGGTAGCCTCAGTTACACTGGCTCCAGTAATATTCAGCACAGTCGTGTCTGTCATGTTGTTCCCCATCTCTCCATATCTCACTGTGTAGCCAGCAATATCTCCATTCTGATGTTCACAAGGCACCAACTCCCAATTGATAGTGATGGAGTAGGAAGTCGCAAAAGTCTTGCTCACATTTGGAGCAGCAGATGGAGCTGCAGAAATAAACACACACATTTGGTAATAGCATAATGGCAACGTAATTTTCTAGTATTAACCTTTCAATGTAGTCACAGCTAATACAGTGTCACTCAGTCCCCCTGCAGTTACAGTAATGTTGTACCTACTGCCCTCCTCTAGTCCTGTTATACTGCAACTTGTATCATTGGTGGTAATAGAGCCATTGTTCTCTCGATTTTCAGCTAAACAGCCTATCTTCTGCCATTCAACTGTATAAGTAATAGCATCTGTGGTGTTTGAAACATTCGAAGTAAAGTTAAGAGAGTTGGGGGATTTTCCCACGAGAAATATTATTGGCTGGCCAGGAACTGGGGAATAAACACAAAAGAATCACCAACAGATTTTGTAAAGTTGCATTGCAGCCTCACAATCACGAGATGCTGATCCGTTTGATGGTTTGTTGTTAGCCACAGTACATGTGTACCTTCCTTCCATTCTCCCAGTCACATTCAGTGTATGGATGTACTCTGCCGTGGTTGCATTGACTAAAACAGTCTCAGTTCCATGGGTGACAGTGGTGGAGTCTCTGGTCCAAGTGACAGTGGTAGCAGGTCCACCAGTGGAGATACAGGAGAGGCTAAACTGAGGACTGGCTCCATCAAAGTCCACATTCAGCATAACACCACCAGATATAGACACATCTCCTGTACAAGAGATGAGCAAAATCAGGTTTGGCATCAACTTCTTTGCTATAACACAAACCTCCATTGGCATACAATCCAACATACACCCTGCTTCGGGTCAATTGAGTGGTTGTGTTATCATGGACATCAACAGTTGCAATATCACAATGATACATGCCAGATGGTGAGGTGGCATTCCTACGACGTAGATCAACTCTCCGATAGTCACGATGCTGGTAAATATCACCGGGGCCACCGCCAAATGGGAGTCGGCTTCCATTAGGGAAGTACCAGTCACCACGATGAATACCTTGCCAACCGCTGCAGCATGTTTTCAGGTGAGTGTGACACTGAACACTCTCATTTTCAGTTCTCCCTATTAGGCTAAAGTCCACATAAGAGTGGTTTGCCAGAGGCTTACTCATGAAGGAGACATAAGGAAAGGTCAGCTGAGAGTGGACCTCCACCAGGGACCAGAGGAGACTGAGGGAGATGACCACCATCAACATCATTACTGTCTCTTTGCCTCTTTGTTCAAATTTCTTTGTGGGTTTTGCTCACTCTTATGTAATGCTTAGCTGTTAGTAAACTAACAGATAAATGGTTTAGTTTGTAGCAAAAGTAACAAAAAGTTTACGCAAGGCAAAAATAAATTAAATATTAGCTGCAGCTCTGGACATCACATACCCCACACTGAGCTAACAGTCGACTAGCTATGCATCATTTGACATGTGCGCATTGGAAGGTTGTTATCGATGAGTCTAACAAAACCCAGAGATTTGTTGTGAAATTTATAGGCCTGATTGTTTGTCGATTTCAAGCACAGCTAAGCCCATTTTTGATCATGTTTTGGTCGCCCTTGGAACTCATTACTAATAATACAAGTGGAAAAATCATTTCTTCAAAATGAAAGGGGGATGACTTGGCTCTTGGGATACCAACAATTCTCATCCGCAGAGCCTTGGAGCATTAGGTAAAATTCACACCCTTCTCTGGGTATCAGACGCCATCTCCCCCGTTCTGGCCTTAGATCCTGTCGAGGACGAGGCTGACTTCTTCTCCAAAACCTTTGAAAGTCACATTGTCTCTCATGCCTTTGTGTATCATTTCTACTATCCCAGCCGCAAGGCTGAGAGGGGCAGTGGTTGCGCATGTCATGTCGCTGCATTTTGAAAATGGATTTATGGACTGTTCTTAGAAGTGTAGGTATCTGGTACAGGGCACTGCTCTGCTCAATTTACATCAATTTTTTTCTTTCGGAAGATGGAATGAAGCTTGTTTCACCCTTCCATTGGTGCCCATTATTGTATCCCCTTGGGGGATCAAACATCCAACGATTATACATCCATATGTGTGTTATGGGTCGGGTAGTTTCGATCAGCGCACCAGTCCGCAGCGCATTATATTCTTTTGATGTAGTCACGCCCGTTAACAGTATAAATCATCCATAGTCGCTTGTGTTGGGTGTGATGACATCACTATATGTAACAAAACCCTCACCTGGCTATTATTAACATTCTACTGGTTGCAGCCACACGCGGAACTGAGCGCTATAATTAACCTCGGCGCGCATGCGCAGCGAGGGTTACAGTAGGCAGTCTGTCTGTCTGCGCGCGAGTTCTAGCACTACAGGCTACGAGGCGGCCAATGAGTGGCACAACGGGTTGTGAACGACGAGGAGATGGATATAAATGTGGCGATTTTCCCGAAACGACTGCGTTCGATAGCGACAACTGGTACGCGTCGCTGACGCGTTGCGTGGCCCAACCCATCAATAAGCTGTGCGCATGCGTATTGGACGAACGCGGTATGCTGGCTCACAGCGACCTGATCAGCGTCTTGCTCTGTTTACTTGGAGCCCAAGAAGCACACAGCGAGTCGTTTGTCGACTCCAGCTTGCTATCGTACTAACTAGCAGCGAACCCGCGGTCAGACTCTCCGCGATGCTACTATATGGGCGGGAGACCGCGGGTTAAAATTGTGCAGACTAATATAGGCCCAGCCATCCATTAGCGGTCACCGAGCCGACGCGCAGTTCGCCGAGTGTTGCGCACATTTACTTATACATTACTGGGTGTTGTCGGATATGTAGCGACCGGCTGACTGTTGTAATTCAACACCATGATTACAACAACATAAATAAATGTATCAGTCATCATTGTTAAATCACACCTCTTGATAACACAGCCTTGAAGTGCGCCGCCGTGGCCAGTGCATATAGGTGTCAGGATGGGTGTCAAAGCCAGGCTCAGTGAAGAGCTGCAAGCTCAGTGCGACCAAACCTTCGATTGAACTGTGCTAATTTCGATTCGCCCCATATGACTTGATAGTTTGAAAGCCTCTCACAGGAAGCTCCTATTGCGTAAGGCAGGACGGAGAGCAGCTAGCAGGCACCCACACCAAAGTATCACAAGATCGAAACATTGAGGGTGCGGGTTCAAGCTTTACGGCTCTCGTTTGTATGATTGGGTGTGGGTGGTTGTCCCAAGTGAAATTGTCACGCATATTCGTGTTATAAACCAAATGCTCCACCTCTCTAAGCAATAATGCTCGTCCATGCTCGCTATGCTTTTAGTGTTTAAAATCGCCACCTTATTTTTACAACTAAGGACAAAACATGAAGCAAAAGGCTACAGAACAGTTTGTGCGTTGCTACTTTGACTTGGATAATAAAATCCCGGGTTAACATAGGCAATGCTTGTAAAACAATGGTCACAGTAATCTATCCCCACGAAATCAATCAAGGGGAAGGCCCATCCCACCCTAATGCCAAACAGGTTAAAAGTAATGAGATGAAGCTGTTGACAGTAACCCACCACAACATTAACACCCTCTGTGTTTTGCTGACCTTCTAGCTCACTACATCGTGTTGTTTTATGTGATGATTACCTAACACATATTGTTTGCTGTTTTAGTAAGCAGAGGCAACATTACACGGCAAACGTACATCACCTGACCACACACACTTGAGATAGGTGTGGTGGAGCTTTAGAACTGGGGGTACTACCTCTGATCGAACAACAACATGTGTGTCGCCACACAATTAACATCTTTAACATATTGCGTGACGTTTCAGAACTATTTGGGAGCCAAGTGCACAAAACTAATTCTTGCAGTCACAGCTAGCCACAGATACAACGTTATCTTTTGAGTACATTACCTACGACACAAAACATATAATACTATCGTGCGACTGTAGCACAGGCTGTCGGGTCAGCACATATGTCCCTATATTTATCCAATTTTTGTCAGACAATTGCACACCGACTAAACCGTAGATTTAAAGGGCACCGTATATCACTGCTATGATTATTACTATCACAACTCGAGCCATAAGGCTACATGCACAAAAGCACCTGAAGTGCAGTCACTGGTCTCCAGAAATGACTTCATACACAGCGTCCTCCTCTGCACCTATATAGGAGAATGTATTGAGAGAGAAGGAAAATGGAACTTCATACATCTCTAAGTATAGCTTTACCAGCTGAGAAGAAGAGTGATTCTCTGCAAGGAAAATCTGCACCAGTTCGTGTCCACTCTCCTCCCCAGCTTGCTCATTGTAGAGGTTTTGTAATATGACCCCTCATCTATCTTCAATGTTCCATATGCCTCATTGGGTGAGGTTGGGATGCGGGCTGACTGCAATTCTCATTTCCCCCTAACCTCCCCATATGCCTCATTGGTTGAAAGTGTGGATACTTGTCCGGATCTTACAACCTGTTAAAAGTAATGAAAAAACCTTCAGAATTGTTCCTGTGTTGTGAACAATAATAGCTAGTATACCTTTTAGACACAAAAGACCAATAACACTGAGAGATACTATAACGTTGCTAACAAACTCCAATGTTATAGCCACAGTAGACAACCAGCCATCATCAGTGACCTGTTGGTCAGGAGTAATTAGTCGCACTTATAATTATTACGATTAACCCAAAATTAGGGGTTGAAGTATAAGAGTCTTCTTCTTCTTCAGGACAGCTGGAGTAAGAGTTGGATTGGAGGGGATTCTAATATAGAATGGATGGCCAGCTGCATTGGAAAAGAGAAGGTTGAGGAGGTAGCTACTGGTGACTTAAAATTGTTGCATGATCATAAGTTTAAGCAAACACATTATATCACAGTGTGAAGGATCGCGAGAGGGTTTTGCATGCATCGCTGCGGCAAACTACATGGAGAGCTTCCTCAAGATCTCATCTAGTTCAACCCAGTCATTCGATGATCACTAGCTACAGGCTAGCTCTTTATCAAAAACATACAGGATGGAACGTGGGAAGTGACAGACTATATACACTTTACCCAGAAAGAGGAAGGGAGGGTAGGAGTGATACAAACACGAAATGATTGTAAAAACCCCACAAACATGAAACCAGAGAGACTGTGGAGACATCCAGTCTCTCACACACAGCCATCAGAAACTCTAGCCACCCTCCTCACTCCCTGGGCACCAACACACACAACTCTAATCTCATGAGGACAAGCTGGCCTCAGTTACAGGAGGACATGCAAAGACCGTAGAATATTCATGACTATTATGCCCGACACAATCACAAACCCTCATCAGCTAGTTGAGGACAGCAGAACAACTCTGCGGAACCAGTCACTTGCACCAACTGTAAATGGCGTGTACGACCAACATCATCAGCTGATGTGTTGAGTGAGAACGATCCATGTTTCCATAATAATACAGTCACAGCTACTCCAGGGGCGACAGAGTCATAATTCTTGGTCCCACGTGCTGACTTCCGTGCCGCTATCATCGTATAGACATGTCAGCATGGCGCTGACCGGCTCTGGCCCAGGTCTCGGGCCGCATATGGAAAGCTGGTCGACGAGACGACAGTAAGTACATCGGTAGCTTGGTTTTCAGACAAACCGCTGACCTTCACATTGCTCCGCTGATCTAGCGACTCGGTAGATGGCTACACCTGTTACCATCACACGCAGCAAGAGCTTCCTCATCGCCATCGTACAGGCCAAAACCGTCGACTGACGGTTAATTAACCCTTTGCGCATGCAATGAATGCGTGCGTCGATTGCAATCGCCTTGCGCATGCGCGGAAAAACACGCAAACACGCGAGCAGCCGTTGTAGCCGAGAAGTGAGTCGGTTTCTGTACTATGCGAGAGAGGGAAGGGGTCTGACACTCTTTGGATTGTACAACATTAGTCTGGTTCACATGACTCATTCACACTTTGCATGCAGGCAATGATGGTAGAAACCGACTAGCTTTAACAG